CTTCGGCTCTCTATGGTTATGGTTTTGGAACAACACAATTTGTATGAATGTAACTTCCATTTATTATTCAACCCACACTATTGCCAATTTCAGAATGTTATTTAAAATAACAATCAAGATTTTTGGGAAAGAGAACAGTGGTATTTTTTTTAAAGGCGGGGTACTGTTGGTAATTCATTCCAAAGCCTTTAGCACTTTCCCTCAATAATGGTTTTTTTAAAAAAAAGATATTAAAAATCACAGGGAATAGAGCAGACATTTACAGGATTACTGAGGAGTGTTTCTTCAGAGAAGAAGGAAAAGTTCTCTATAAACTTTTTGGACTAATCCTTTGAGACCACAAACCTGCTACTAGATACCATAGTCCTTCAAATTAGAAGAAGATGAGAGAGCAAAGAAAATCAATGGGGTCAAAACTCTATGCATCTTCTAGCAAAGGTAGGTTTAGTCACAAACTCTATCTTATAATAGACTAATATTGAGCTAGACAATAGGTCAATCGAAAATGATTTGGGAAAGGTATTTTGGAACAGGCAAGAGTGCTGGCATAGCGCTGCTTTAAAACTGTTTTTTTTTTCTTTCAGGTTTCCACACAAGAAGATGTGACTGTTTTATCAGGTGACTCTTTAAAATAACTACATCTATAACATGATTCCTTTAATCAGCCACCTCTACTTTTTCATGCCACTGTTTTGGAGAAGGATTGTACTTCCTCTCCCACCCATCTGGAAGCACTTCTTATGAATTATTATTTTTGAAGCATTTTCAAATCTGTTTCCTCAAAGAGCACTGGTGCTACTCAAATCAGTGGTGGGTTCCGGATCCCGTTCCAACCGGTACGGTTAGAACGGGCCCAGCATCGTTCACATGGACGTGCGCAGCGCAGCCGCACACACATCGTACCTACCAGCGACGCCTCCGCAAGCCTCTGTGACGCTCCAGCTGCTCGGCGGAGCATCACACAGGTGCTGTATGCGCCATGCACATGCACAGAAGCACTGAAGGATTTAAAGGACAGGTAAGGAGCTTGGGCGGGCGGGCCCTCTGGAGCACTGTACCACAACGGTACCTGATGCTCCAGGCAGGCTCCGGTATGCTGTACCGGGGCATACCGCCTGCAACCCACCACTGTACTCGACCATAGTTTACTTGACCATCTTAGCTATAAGAGATGAGATACACACTGTGTTTCCTTAAATTTCCTTGTTTTAGTAATGGTTTTTTTAAAGAAAAGCAATACCCTTCCTCCAACTTCTTCTAGACTAGATTGAACAGTACCATCACTAGTCA